AAGAAATTCCACCTGAACATTAGGAGGAACTTCCTGACAGTGAAAGCGGTTTGACAGTGGAACACTTTCCCTTGGAAAGCGGTGAAGTCTCTTTCTTTGGAGGTTTTTAAACAGAGGCTGGAAGGCCATCTGTTGGGGATGCTTTGATTTTGAGTTCCTGCATGGCAGGGGATTGGAGTGGATGGCCCTTGTGGTCTCTTCCAGCTCTATGATTCTATGATTCTGTGAAATCAAAAATGTTTTGGAGACACACAACAACAACAACAACAACAACAACAACCTCCAGGGCAATACTTCTGTGCATCCTTGAATGTTCTGTTTGTTGCAATGGAACTGGGGTCGGGGACAAATAGATGGCTGTGAGAAATGTATATTTTAGTTGGAAAGGATATAAAAGTGAAAAGTCAATTTTCCCTTCTCCTCAGCCACAATCATATTCCAGATCTGCCCCCCTCCCGCACATGACTATTTCCTCTAAAAGAAAAGCAAGCCCAAGATATGGCAAGCATATGGCAGACATGTAATCCTCACTGTGTCTTCATATTCTCTATATATGGAAATGATTTTGATCTCTTTGAGAAACACATTTGTTCACTGAGAAGTTTCAAATTATAACACACCTTTATTCATTGTCAGTACCTTTAGAGAACAAAGACAATATGGGGCTCGATGAACAAGTCAATAGGAAACCCAAGAAGTTGTGGGATTGTTGCCCCTGTAAAGCAAGAAAAAAATCCTACCTTCTTGAAAAGCACTGGTGTTGCTTAATGGATTATTGTCTTATTATGACTTCTCCAGTGGCCTTCCACACTATACAGTTATAGCACTATGATTCCCTTTTAACAACTCTGGCACATCCTAGTGAATCCTAGGATTTTTAGGTTTTCTGGGGAGGGTGGGGGAAGTTAATTTAGTATTCAACCACAGACCTCCTATCATGTCTCAACAAACTACAAAGCCCAGGATTCCATAGGATGAAGCCATGATAGTTGTGATGTCCAGCCTGGACTGTTTAAATTCTCCCCTGCATTTTCCCTCATTTAGTTCAGTCCTTAGATTGTTTGAGCATAGGAATGTTCCGCTGTATTAGTTTGTGGGAGGAGCTGTAGGAATCCCCTGAATTTTTCTAGTTTTGGTTTGCCCCTTCCCAGCAAGCTCTGCTTTAGCTGGGGATTTTTTAGTTTTTTCATAGGCAGGCTTGGCTTGATCTGTTTGGTAGCAAAAACAGGCTCAGACAGGAGGAAAGGGCATTTCTTACACCATTTAGCTAACTTACAACTGCAGCCAAATTATTTACCATATAGCCAACTTATTTATCACATTAGC